ATATCAATCCCAATTCACGACCAAATCCTAATTTCTGCACACAACTTCTTTGAAGATATGAGAAATTCTCCTTATGAAGCTATTAAATCGCTTACAGACTATGACCCTACTATTGAGAACGTAGTGAAAAGACCTCGAACGATCCACCACAATTCTAAGTGGTGGTAGTGTATATAATGTAATGTAAAAAAAAAAAAAAATATTACTGTTCCTTTGCAGTTACTATTCAAGAAAGATGAACTTTGCAAAATTAGGACTTTATTTTTCATCGATGAATTCTTCGTTTTACTACTTATTTAACCAAGATTTTTACTTTTACTTTTTATTTTACTATTTCGTATCGTGTGTTTTAAAATCAAAGTTCGTGGTAACACCAAGTGCTTACTCTCACTCATTAGCCCTAGTGAGCTACATGACCTCATTTTCGCCTTTTACACAGTTTCCTATTCATTTAATGATTATATCGCAAGTTTAGAAGATTTTCAAGTGTTTCAAAAGACATAGGACTCTTAAATTCACAAATAGATGTTGCTTTTACTATGTTCGAACTTTATTTATTGCCAAAAACTACAAAAACTTCATTTTTCGAACTCTGACTCCTCGACCAATCTAAATGCCGGACGCTGATCACGTGTTTCTCCTGCTCTTCTTGACTCACGCAGAAGCTTAGACTTTCATTTCGCTTCTCGCCACCATTTACGTATATATCACACCCATGCTATGCCATGATATGCAATTTAGCAAAACTTATTTTATGAGTTCTCTCATTTATTGATCTCGCCTTCGGGCGCGGTGTATTTTTAAATACACCTCTTAAATTTTTAACTTTATGGCCTATGGTAAATGATAATATACTGGTAAGAGCTCCTAGTAGCTAAAGCCAGCAGTAAAGATATGATCCAAGATATAAGATCTCCCTCTTCTCGTTGTCGCTTTACGCAGACGCTGCACAGAAGTCTTCTTCATAATTTCCCAAGTTTGCCTGATGCAAAGTGTTCTTTAAGAACAAGGTGCTGTAGCGCTAATTTGATTTGTTTTAGATTAAATAAAAATGGATGTCAACCATGAATAAAAAGGAAAGAGTTGAATGCGACCAAGTCTGCAAGTTTCTGGTTTACGCATTCATTTGCCTCTCCAAGTTATTAAAACGAGCTTCTTCTAGTTTTATTATATATATATATTTATGTATAATATATATATGTGTGTGTAAGATAAACAAAATAGGATGGCTGCTTTAAGAAATAATTGGTGACCTCAAAATTATCTCTTCTAGATTTTGTGTTCTCCCCCCTAAATTCATCTGTGTGTTAACTATTAAAGAACAAGGATTGTATAAATGGTAATTCCAGTATCTCTTGGTACTAAATTACTTGAAAAAGCTAATATTAATTTTGGACAATGATTAATTATTAATTCCAATTTTTGGTTTCCATAATAGCGCATATTTACTATCTAAATTTCGCATCATATTTCCTAGAAGATAGTTTTTCATTTATATATTCGCTCTCTCTATGTATATATATATATTGAATGATCTAAAATTCACTGAGTTCGAAAATAAGTTTTTCTAATACTTGCGCAATAGCTGCAAAGTAAGATATAATAATTTATTTATTAAAGAAATATTGATTATATTATCTCCTAATATAAATTTAGTAGAATGTATCAGAAAAGAGTGAACCCATATGTAGGAAGTTTGATTCCGAAAATTGTGTTTTGAAGTAACTTGAATGTAAATCATAAAAAAAAAACTTAAGTATTCGGAAACTAAGTACCGTTTCATTCTAGCGCCGTCGCAGCGCTGTGGTAGGCGTTCCGCGTATGCGCACTAGTCTTTCTTGTTCGCTGACTTTCAACTGTCACCATTTTGGTTGCTGTATGTTGTGTTTTCAGTTTGCTGTGCACATTCAAAATGTTTAAGACAATTAGTTCTCCCGCTGACTGTGAGAGTTCGTGGCTGTGATTAAATTTTTTGAACGCGAGAATGTTAAACCGGCCGAAATTTTCGTCAAGTGACAGAATTTACGGTGAATACGCGATAAGTGATGGAATGGTGAGAAAGTAGGTAATGTGTTTAATGCAGGTCGAACAAATGTCCACGCCGAGGTCTCGGATTGGTCGGCCTTCTGTTGTCACCGATGATTTGGTAAAGAAGTTGATGAAGCATTCATGAGAACAGACGCTTCACGATGACAACTTCTTTCAGAGGCATTTGCGCAAATTTCACGTACGTTTTGTTCGAAATTGTGTCTGACCGCTTGAATTACGCAAACTGTGTTCCCGATGGTGTTCCAAAAATGCTCACTGATGTTCACAAACAAAGCGACTTGGTAGTGCCCTGACATTTCTCACGCGGTACTGAAGGAGAAAACTTTTTAAACCCAAATTGTGACAGGTGATGAAACTTGGATGAAACTTGGGTGTGTCATTTCACACCAGAATCGAAACAACAATCGGTGAGTGGAGAGACACACTCATTCTCCGAAAAAAACAAAAGTTCAAAGTGACAATGTCATCACAAAAAATCATGTGCACTGTCTTCGGATAGGAAAGGCGTTTTGCTTACTGAATTTCTTCCCAGAGGTGAAACCATTATGCGGCACGATATTGTGAGACTTTAACAAAACTAAGGCGTGCCATTCAAAAAACGAAGAGAATGCTCAGTAAAGGAATTGTGTTGCTCCATGACAATGCTCGGCACCATACTGCTGCTGTCACTGAATCGTTTAATTCGACAGTTTCATTGGAGCAGTTCGATCACCCGCCGTACAGCCCGGACTTGGCGCCGTCCGACATCTTGTGTTCCTGCACATGAAGCGCGAGCTTGGTGGCAAGCGCTTTGGATCGACGATGACACGAAAAATGCGTGGATTCGTGGTTATCGAAACTGGCGGGAATTTTCTTTTGACGATGGGTATAAAAAAACTGGTCACCCTCTATGACAAGTGTTTGATCATTGGCGTAAATTTGTTGAAAAATAGTTTAAGACATGTATTTTCATGTAAAATAAAATTGGATTCGAAAAATTGTTTTACTTTTTTTTTTTTTTTTTTTTCTTTTTTCAAAACGGTACTTAGTTTCCGAATACGCCTCGTATATATGAAGTAGCAAGACAACATGAATTAGAGAGACCTGAGTGGTCAAAAAGAAATATATATATATATGTACTATTTACATGTATATAAATCAAGAAGGTTAACATAAATTGGAATACGTGTAGAAGCGTTGGGGAAAGCAAAATTAAAATTAGTTTCCTCTTTGGAGCCTCTAAAAATATATGTTCTATTTAGCATATTCTTTTTACTTCCTTTTAAGAAGTAAGGGAAGTATTGCAATCGCGAAAATTTGCAGGTGTCATCTTTTAACAAAAATATCCATTTTGAGCGCTGTCGAATGCAATTGAACTATGTTTCTGTGTGACATCTGTACATGAGGACAGAATAAAGGACTGTTTTTCCCAAAACGGGTTGCAAAAAATATTTAAAATGGATTCAGAAGAGTTTTTTGTGACATCTGTACGTACGTGCATATGTATATATCTCGCATAACTCAAAAACGAGAAGCGTCAGAAGGTTGAAATTTTTATACAGGACTGCTATAAAATATAGTTGTGCACCTCCTTTTTTGGTTGCAATCGGGGGCACTGATTATATGTATAATAGATATATACCCACTCTTTGTTAAGCGGATTCCTTAAGCTCAGTTTTTTTTTTTATTATTATTATTCTTAGATGTTGGTAAAGGGCGCATTTTTTGCTTTAAAAATTATTGGATTATGTTGTTATTACCTTCTGGTTAAGGTTTTTATGCCTTTAATTAATCTGCATGTAATAGTTGTAGTATTATCTGATGTATTTATAGGATTCCTTGCCAGTATAGTTTAATTTACATTGGCCAAACTAAGAGAGCCTTAAAATTTCGCGTCAAGGAACATGAGGCATATGTTAAAAAAAAAGGAAACACAGAAGTCTTCTGTTGCCCAAATCACACTTTCAATTTTTCTGCTGCCAAAATTATTCAAAAAACAGTTGGAGAACTGGATTTCTAGAGGCATTTCACATTTAAATAATCCTTCTGTTCTAGTTAACGACCCTAATTCCACTCCATCTTTGCCTTCCTCCTTTAAAAAAATTATGTTTCAGTTCTGGTTTCATCAACAGATGGCGCCACTAGCTTATTTTCTGTCCAGGCTTTCTTATCTAATCATTATATCCTGTTTCGTTCATTTGCGCTTTTTCAGTTAAGGATGGTGGTTCGGTAAAACCATCGAAACTAGTCCGGTGAAAGTTTCAAAATATAACGCTGATTTTTGTTGTTTGACTTCTGAATTAGTATTTGTTCGGCGTGTTATTGTGTCTTAATTAATTTAAGAGTTGCTTACGTGCGACTAAATCTAATTTTTTTTTATCATAGCAACCATATTTATTTACATTTGAAAGTTATCAGAATAGTGAATTAAATCAGTTTCTTCACCTTAGGTGTCTTTGCCGAGTGGGACCAAAAGTAAATGTTCAGTTTTGTGCACCGAAAAATCTGCCTTCCTGCCCGCTGGTCGAATTGCTTCTTTTTCCATAGAAATTCTAATTGTAATTGTAAAAAGTGCATTTTAATTGTTTAACTGTATCTGGCGTTTTACATTTTTCTAATTTTTTCAATTTTTAATTAAAATATTTTTAGGTTTTCATGTATTTTTGCCTTTTGCTAAGTGAGAACTGAATTAATTGAATGAGAAATACATCTCTAATGAAATTCGACGAAATAAGTTTAAATGAAATGCATGAAAAAAATGCGTATAACTTAGTATTCCGTACAAGGAAGTCATAAGGTGTACACATGAGATTTTTTAAACACACACACCACACACACACAAAAAAAAAAAAAAAAAAAAAAAAAAAAAAAAGAAAGAAAGTAAAGAAATAACTATAAAACACAAAAACTGAAATATAGCAGTGATTGCTGAGTACTACAATTTTGTACTACTAAATATATTTTTAATTTAGATGCCAAAGAGGAAGCAAAGCATGATTTAAGCCTCAATTATATAACGATAGATTTTGACACGAAGAACACTGCTAATTGTGATATTGTACCAGGGGGACTTCTTGGTGTAGGTTCCCCATTTGAACCATTTATTCCGAAGCTTCGCATCAAGTCTGGAATGAAATATACTATCAAAGTAAAATTGGTGAGTATAACTAAGAAAGAATTATAAATTCTTCTTTCCCTAAATGACCTGTTTATTTATTTCTTTATAAGTACAATGCCTGTATAGGAATTTATGCTTTGTTTTTAAATACCATGTATATCTTTATATTGTGCAGTACAAGAAAGCTTTTCTCCAAAAATTGTACTTATCATTTTCTTCTATTATATGCAAGGTGGTGTATATTGTGTTTAGTACAGTCAAATTCCGCTACAATAAACCCAGTTTATAATGAGACTTCGGATATAACGATCGATCCTTTTTGTCCTGTCCAATTTCCTATACGTTTAATGTTATTTTATGAGGCTCTACCAACCTCCAAAAGTATCAAAATTAGATATAACGAGCTTCACGCGTAACGTTTTTATATTTTTTCTATTTTTTATTCAGCTCATTTATTTTCCAAATCTTAACTGAAAAATTACAAAATTATTCATGTTTAGGATTTCAAGATCCACATTCCTTCAATGTGATGATAATGACAAAATATTATTATTCTTTTTATTCTTAATATTCTAAACAAAAGTTGTGAAAGACAAGTGTAACGTCTATTTATTGACACTAAGTACGTCTTAAGGCACTATATATTATATCAGGCCACTGAGTCAAAGGGCTTCAATGATTCTTTGATTCCATCCAAATTCCTTGATTAAGTTCTCAGACTACTTAAGTCCGAGATTGATCTAATTGAGGCTGATAGTATGAAGGAAATTTTGAAATTTTTAGTGATCAGGTAGAGGGGAAGTAGTGAATAGATTTTTATAAGTTTCGAGCTATGTAGTTTATTCCCAGTTTGTCTCAATATTTAAAATGCTCGGAAGCTCAGTCTTCTAAATAAGAGAGGTTGCATTCTTGAGATGTTTTGAAAAATTAAGATATTTTTAATAAGGACTATTGCAACTTTGCTTTGCAACCGTACATATTTTCGATTGAATATTACTGGACAACATTTAGAAAGTATTAAAGATGAAATTATCTTCTCTTTTTATAGTTTCTAGATAAGCTAAACATCCCCTATTCTTAATTATATTTATTCTGTACTGGAGAAATTTTCTCTGTCAGAAAGTCATGCGTACGCCGAGCGGTAAACGTAAAGCATTCTCATTCGAAAATAAGGGTGAGTATTTTTGGAAAAATATAAATTGTATACAACCGAATAGAATCTGCCTATAATATAATTTATTCAAATCTACAATTGGTATTATATAGAAAAATCGAGATTCTATAATTTCTATTAAAAATAAATTAATGAAAGGAAAAATTTAAAAGGGGCAAGTATAAGAATGCAAAAAAAGCATTGCTGAAATAGAAGCCGCAATTTGGTATTAGCTGGAAAAATATTATCTAAAAGTATGCATTTTAGATGGAAATTTGTAATTAGAAGGACAAGTCTAAACCCTAATAATTATGATAAGCAATTTATCGTGTAAAATTATTAATGTACTATGAAACTGGAAAAACATAAAATAGAATTTAACAATTGCACGTATAGTAAAGAAAACGAAACTAATAATTATTAATTTTATACTATTTCTGAAATTATCTATATTTTCTTAGCCGGTGAGGTATATAAACTTTCGGAATCCTTAAGTTCGCTACACTGGGTTAAGTTGTAGTTTGAGCTGGTAATTATTTAAAAATGTAAAATAGCTTGCCATCTCTAATGTGCATGCCACATATTTGCATATTTGTGGCATTCCTACTATTAAACAGAGTTAAAAGTCAGGGTATTCGCATACCATGGCTTTCCAGAAAGTACATCAGCGGATTGCGGCTGTAGAAGCTTTCATTCAAGCAGGTGTTACAGATGCTCCTTGGAGGTTGCAACGGAGTAATGAATACGCAGAACTGTGGGCAACACAATTCATAGATAACATTTGTGTCGAACAAGACGATGGAAAAGCAAAGGTAAGTATGGCTGTATTCCTGACAGGCATTTCTTAAGTCATCCAATTTCACTCTTTAGTGATCTAATTTGTCCATTTCCGTTCTCACATTTGACAGCTCCGTACTAGTCCGTTACTTGAAAGAGAGAGTCTTTGCACTTCATTCAAGGACGATTGTGGTCCGCCAACGATGAGTAAAGATTTTCTTTCCGAAAGAAGTAGTTCAGAACTGTGAAATCTGATAAGCAGAGTGGCCATGTAAATTGTCAAAGCGGAAAATCAAACGATTTAGAAATACCTAACATAGCCAAACTTGTATATGCCTTTCTACTGTCTCATTGGAATCAAATTATACCCACCAACTGCCTTGCTCACAGCTTTGGCGATCCCCATTGTTCCGCTGCAATATCCACTGAGTGTCTGTAACCCAAACGATTAGATTAAAGGCATACATAGTCGCAATTCGCAAGTGTGATGGCTTTCAGTTTACAGAATTCCCTACTGTTGTTCTCCGTGGAAGCAGATATGCTACAAATGCTCACCTCCTTTTTGGCAGAACTGACAACTCAAATCGGTGGATAAAATATGGGTCACATTATAGAATTTGTTTAACAGTTAAACTACTAGAAATAAAGAAATATGCAATTCGTTATGTGCAAAAATAATTAATTCAACCGCTACCTACGAAAATTAGTAATATTGAAAATGAATAGCATAAGGGCACTTTCTCATGTTTTTAAATAAAAATCAATCCATATTTATTCTGAACATCATTTGTCAAAAAGGTATTTCCCGATTTCTTTTAGCTGCACAAAATTAATGTTAAACTCTTGTATTTAAGATATTTCATAAGAGTTTACGGTGTCACTAATCTTAGCATCGTCACGTCTAGTATTAATTTATAAAGTGAAAAATTGCAATGTCACTTCTTCCAAATTTTAAGTCAACTGGGTGTTCTTTTGATCTATTTTTTTGTTATTGATTCAGTTACGGCAAAATATTTTAGCACTTCTTTACCATTATTCTATCTTTCCAAAGAATTATTATAATATTTAGAAACGAAATTCTCTGGTCGAACACTAAGTACTAATTATTATTAAATTAAATATTAGTCCGGCCGTAAACTTGTGTTTGTAAACTTGTGGCCGTAAACTTGTCACTGTGTTTAATAAATCTCATTAGGAGAATGCAGCTTGCGATCAGCACCGCAAAATGGTAAAATATATTTTGTATCTTATTATATATGAAAATTAAAACTTTACAAAACATCAGCTTAAACTGACTCCCGCGTATACATTCGGCTAGAAAGTCCAGAGAACTAAGACTCTTCTTAATTTTGCCATGCCGGTAAACCATTAGCATAAAAATGTTTTCGTAACTTGAATATTAACACTTACGCCTAATGAACTGATTTTCTGACGCCGCTTGGCTCATAAATTATCTGACTCCTTGCTTATATTTCTCTTTTTTTCCATAAATGTGAAACACAGATTCGGAAGTCCCAGATTAAAATTATATGTTTGCAAAGTCCTTCAAATCTTGACTGAAAATAATACACGTGTATATCAATATTATATCAATAACTATAATATCATTCAAATAAAAATTTTCTGTTTTATTGTCTTATTACAAAGATTATTTTTAACAAAAAAGAATTGTAGGCCTTTAAAACTATATTAAAAAGTGTAGTCAATTTGACCGTTGTCGTTGTTCTAATTATAGACGCGTATAAATATAAATATAATAATTATATAAATCTAAATAAAATCTAAATGAATAATTATTTATTTTGGACATTTAATTTGCTTCATATTTGAGTTAAGTTTCAGAAATTTCAGGAAATTACACCTTCAAAGCTAATATATCTTGGGAAGACCCAAGAATGCGAAGTATCAGAACATAAATTTGATTGCTGCCGTAATGTAGTGTTAAAAAGTTAAAAGGATGAGTTTTCTCCTATACTTTTGCTTTCTTGACAGAAAATCTGAAAGACTGACTGATTTCAGTTAAAAATAAGTTTTCGGATGATTTAGACGATAGACTAACATGGAAAACCTTGACTTAAGTCTGATCAGTCTTAAGCGAAGGTCGCTCAACGATTACGGATATCTTGAACAGTGCTATACAGGTTATGGCACCTAACAGTTACTGAAGCTACCAAAAACAGAAGGCCTGTCCTAGTGCCGCCTTAAAGCTACGAACCTGCGGAGGATCGGCACATGGCATTAGATATATTATGCCATAGATATGTGATGGCTAAAGAACTCTTTTGAACACACTGCTGTATCTGGAACAAGAATTTTCAGCAAACCGTGTAGAGATGCCTAGTAGGGAAGGATTTATGACCTGCAGTCACTGAAATGTATAACATGAAACAGGTAGTAGATGAGAGACCGTTTTTATGAAGCCAGGCACTGAATTCCTGGAGACAGCAAGGTTTGTGTTAGGTACTTTTCACTGATAAATTCAACAATTTTGGTGTAAGTGATAGCCTTGTGTTTGAAGGCGTGATGATGGACGGCCGCACACCTCAGCGTCTTCGATGCAATCACGTCTATATAAAGCTCAGCTGATTGAACAACTTTGGAGGACGAAGGTATTAGTTGTCAGATGGGGTTTAGTCAGTTGTGTGTATTCTCAGGATCTAAATCATATTACAACATATTCGAATGTTATATGAAGAGAAACTGAAGTTAAAACCTTTTCAGGATCCTTTATAATCTTCGTCCTTAGAAGTATAGGATTTGTTATCACAAAATATGATCAACAGCTTCATTTACAGTATGACAACCAATTCTGAAGCATGTAGAGCTGTGAAGGGTCGTCGTGCTTCTAATTAAACCAACCATATTAGAAATATGATATGTCACGACCTGCCGTTTTCGTTTTCACTTGCATATCGCCAGAACATTTACCCAATGTTTATTTTATGTTACTGTTTGTTGTCTCATAGTATTCGGCATCTGTGCACAAATTAGTTTTACAATAAACCCAATAATTGTTTGAATCATCAGGAATTTTGTGTTTGTAACCTTAATTTTGAACACCAGTTTATTTTATTATGTTCTCTATTCTGGCAGGAAGAAGAGAACAGATTACCTTGTCCTTATCATACAAACTGCCGAAATTATTCGGAAGACTGGCTGATGGGTTACAAGAGTGGACCACGTTCCAGAGAAGTGAGCAAAATTCATTTCTTCTTTAATTAGGCATAGGACATCTTAATACTCGTCCTCCACGAATCTTAGAAAATACTCGAGATAAAAAAACTCATACTCGAACTCTTTTAGTCAGTTGAATCTCTTGAATCCTAACCTAAAAGAAACATTTAAACTCAAAACTTCGAAAGGATTTATTTTATTGATGTGCAACAGAAGACTCCATTTTAAACATCGCAGTCTCAGTGGCAACTGGATAATCAGTACCCCTCGTTACAACCTTGAGTGCCACGTTTTATCAATAAAACGTATATCGATATCTGACTAGCAGTTTCTCAAGTAACAAGTAGCAGTTTCTCAAGTTTTTAAGAAAACACAGTTTACTTTGTTTTCTTAAAAATTCTCAAAACGTATATCCTAATCTACTGAACACTTCTGAACGTAAATAATCTTCTACGAATACCAAGCCGTACAAAATTTTCTGCGTCGCACTTGTGACTCTAAGTGTGTACCAGTTATTTGCCTCGTGTATGTGACTAAGTGCGTATCAATTTTCCATCGCGCATGTGACTCTAAGTATATATCCAGCCATGGTTATTGAATTTTGAATATTTATTGAAATGTAAAACGTTATTCATGCATTTTTGTCAAATTATGTTAAGAAAAAAAAAAAAGGATCTTAAAAACATAATTGAATTATGAAGAAACCTGTAGGAAAAAAAGTGATAAACTTCTTTCTACAAACTAACAGCTACCTATACACTGGTGTGCAAATTTTAAAGACGAAGTCGAAAAATAAGCATATCAGCTGAACGAAGAGGCAGAGCGGACAGAAAGACCAATCAAGAGATTAAGTAAGGTGATGTACGGTAGCACATGCGCAGATATGCAGGAAGACGTAATGGGGGAGTGTCTGAGTAGTATAAAGCATTTTGTCGGTGTAAGATAAGTATTTCTGGCAAAGAGATTGCACGCCGTATAGCAGTTAAAATCACATCGAGTTGCTGCCTCAGCAAGAAATGGCGAATAATCAATCTGTTAGACGACATCTGAATGCTTTTACCCGAGGTCGAATCATTGGGAAGTTGGAGGAATGCCGCAGTGTGACAAGTGTGGCTGCAGAGTTCGGAATTGCTCACAGCATCGTTTCACGACTTTGGAGACAATTTCAAACTACAGGAACAGCTATCCGGAGGTTTAGTAGTGGTCGTCCACGAGGAACCACACCCGCAGATGACCGGTATATTGCCTTACAGGCCAGAAGAAACAGGCGGCAGACAGCGGTAGAAATCGCTAGACCCACGACATAGGCGACTGGACGACCGATATTGTGTTTTACCGTGGCCAGAAGACTGCACGGTAGTGGTCTGTTTGCACGACGCCCTGTACGGTGTGTACCTCTAACACCTGCCCATCGGAGAAGGCGTTATCTGTGGTGCCGAGAACACCGGAATTGGAGAGACAATGAATGGGGACGAGTAGTCTTTACAGATGAGAGCAGATTCAGTCTGAGTAGCGATTCTCATCGCATACTCATCTGGAGAGAGCGGGGGAGCCGCAATCATCCCTCCAACATCATTGAAAAGGACAGGCATGGAGGTGGAGGTGTTCTCGTTTGGGGAGGCATCATGCTTGGTAGTCGTACAGACCTTCACATCTTCGACGCAGGTTCAGTCAAAGGGACCCGTTATTGTAACGAGATTCTTCTTCCATATGTGCGTCTTTTTAGAGGCGCTATGGGTCCGCAGTTCCTTTTCATGGACGACAAGACACCATGTCATCGCACAGTAGCTGCCCAACAGCTCTTAGAGTGAGGATATTGAACGTATGGATTGGCCGGCACGGTCTTCGGATCTCAATCCCATCGAGCATGTATGGGATTTTCTAGGCAGACGCTTGGCAACTCGTACCTTACCACCAGTAACGATTCCGGAGCTTCGATTGGCGCTGCAAGACGAATGGGCAGCAATACCTCAACCACTCATTGACACCCTCATTCTTAGCATGGGCAGACGCTCTGAAACCTGCCTAGCAGTCAGGGGAGATCATATCCCCTATTAAAGACCGGATGTTTCTTGCTGGACACCCATGACAGGGATGTTTCGGCCTTCAGTCGCATTGCGCTCCATGCTACTTTTTCAATAAAGCTTGTTTTTATTCCTCTGATTTCTGTTTTAGTAAGTGTTGCTTACATTACTCATGTCCTTAAGTATTGGGGATCTTACGGTATTAAATGTGTCGATTTGGAAAGCTTTTGTACAAAGTTATATTGAAAAAAAGTCTCGTCCTTAATTTTTGCACACCAGTGTAATTTAAGAATTAATTCGGTTACATTGCTCAGAATGCTCTAAAACTAAGTGTGAGTGCTTGTATCTGAATGTGTTTCAGGTTATTTAAACGATCAAGAAAAACGCTGAGTGTGAAATGTTGCTAAAACTATTATACATAATGAGTCTAATAAAATTTTTAATTTGATTCCATTTAATGAATAGCACCGCGAATTTCCAAAGGATAACTGCAAAGAATGACAACGAGAACCTATCAGCGTTTGTGTTTAAGTATATTTTTTGCAAATTCTAATTGAAATTATTTGAAATCTAAATGAAATTTTGCACAGTGTGATCTTAACCTTTATAGGAAACCACAGTTACAATTTATCATATCTTTATATACTCAAATGATACAATACTTGTAACCCAGTATAATGATCACAAAACAGTGTAACCTAAACTAAGGCTTTCCTCCACTTTAATAACGTTAAAATGGTGGTCCTCTGAAATGTTTTTAAAAAATCATATAAACTATGAAATAACTATTGTTAGGATAATTGTAGAGTATCCCAGTGCCACTAAAAATAAAGAAATAAAGAAGGAAAAGTAACCGTGAACGCCACATTAGTTCCTTTTACGGCATCTTAAATTATACGCATTTTTGCTGCACTTCATTTAATCTTACTTTTTTGCTGTACATTTAAACTTACTTCATCTAATTTCATCAGATTAATTCAATCAGTTCAGGTCTAACTTCGCAACAAGGGAAAAGTACATAAAAACTCAAAACATCTTAATTAAAGATAGTGAAATACTGAAAAACCTAAAACATGGAATACCATTAAAATTTCTTTTTACAATTAAAATTAGAGTTTCTATGGAAAAAAAGCAATTCTATCACTAAGTAGAAAGACAAAATTTTCGATGCACACGATTGTTAACAGCAGGTCTCACTGGGCAAAAACATCATGCAGTTGGGGCACCGACTTAATTCACTGTTCTACTAAGAGTTTCAAATGTAAATAAACGGCGGATTGTTAGGCTTAGCGTCACTCGAACTTTTAAATTCTTGATAATTTTACAACTATTGCGTGCAGGTTAACGGGCATAAAAACCCTAACCTGAATTTAGCAACACAATTCAATCACTTTTAAAGAATATAATGCACAATTTGCCAACATATAACAATAATAAAAACTGAGCTTACCAAGCTGGGGAACATAGTAGGAATATATATATATATGCGTGCGTGTGTGTACTTATATATGTTTGGTGCGACCGATTGCAAAGAAAAAGGGAGATGCACAACTAGATGCTATAGAAGTCCCATATGCAAAATTTCAATGTTTCTATGGCTACTCATTTTTGAATAATGAGAGATACATAGATACGCACGTAGAGATGTCAAGAAAAAATTTCTTTTGAAGTAATTTTAAATTTATTGTACAATCCTTTTTGAAAACAAAAAGATCTTATATTCTGTCCGTACGTAGAGATGTTACGCAAAAACATCGTGCAGTTGGATTGGAGAGGGTCAAAATGGATATTTTCTTTGAAATATGATACCCCAAATTTTTCGCGATTACAATACTTCGTAAATTTAAGTAAAACGAAGGTAGATTTCTAATAAATAAACAAACATAATTCTTTCCGAAGAGCGAAAGGGCACTATTTTTTGTGTGAATATTTGCTCAATGGAGGATACTTGCATTCCGATGTAAATTTTGGATGTAAAATACTTCTGAAATTTCTTGATGAAGTAGAGTAAGGATGTAATAAATTATACAAAGTTTCAAAATAAAGGAAAACTCTCGGTCCCTCAACAAAGTTAGTGCAAGTACCCGATTTTGTAAAAAACTTTTTTTTGTCTTACGAATTATGCGTATTAAACTCACGGATTCACTGACGTTTCATCATCATACATGAACTTTACTAAATACAATTTCTTTTATGATATTTCTCACTTTCGATAATTTTCTTCTTCATATAATATTTTGATTCTTACATTTCTTTTAATTTAGTTCCCCCCCCCAATAAAATATTTTGCTTACAGCTTAAAATAAAATTTGTGAAGATTAAAAGACAACTAATGTAGCGTTAGTTCCTTTTAGCTGCAGTCATGTTTTCTTTACGTTCTTTCACTACAGCTTCCCAGAATTCTGTATTCTCGTTTAAGGAAGAGGAAATGCGTAGTCGTTCAGTCATCCTATGGTGAATTAGCATATTAACTATTAAGCTCGTTTAATAGATGTTCGTAATGCTTTGGGATATATTTCTCTATTCTCTTTCATATAAAACGATGATCTAATCGAATCATTTTATTAAATAAATATTATTTCATTTCATTTTGGACAGATGTGTATTTACTCATGCTTACAAGAGAGAGCCAGAGAATCATTTTGCGAACCCTGCATATCCAGATACTTTTATCGAGAAGGTGTTTTTCCGATCAAGTGGATGTGCAATGGTGAGTATAATTTCTTAAACCTGAGTAAAATAGTTTTACAAACTTTACATCTCTTTTCCGCCAAGGTTATTTCTACGGTAGCAGAATTTGTTCCTATCTAGCGCAAAGTAACTATCAAATCACAATGCTGTTAAATTAGACGGCATTTATTACCAACCTGAAACAAACTGCTTAAAAAAATAAACGGATATTAGTAGACATTATTCATTCATATTCCAGAGCTGTTGCATTATTTTTCGGAAGTGACGCAGAGCAAGGAATAATAGTTGTATACTTTATGTACGGATTATAGAATTTGATGGCTATATGCTAATTACGTAACTTTGCCTTTATTAAATGCAGCATGAAATGCTATTTTCCTTAGACACAACTGATATACTTAAAAGCTGAAAAAAGAAGTCTCACACTCTGAGCGATAGCCGTTTAAAAGTTATACTTAAAGCTAAAAGGTATAAAAACTGAGTTGTAGATCAATTGTAAGGTACTTCTTTCGCCTTCTTAGCAAGCCTTCGTGGTGTAGTGGTCTGCACGCTCAGCGCGTAATTGAGAGGTCCGAGGTTCGATTCCCGGCGAAGGCGTCGCTAATTTTTCAATCTCTCTTGCTTCCGAAATTAACCTAATGTCTCTATACAATCACCTGTTTTCCCATATCGAGCATAGATTCTTGTAGATCAGTTCCGCTTCTAATTTACTACGAGCTGCGCCATTAGATACTATACGGAGAGGAGAGATGCCCCGTGGAGGACATTTTAAGTGAAACTAACTCGCGTCCATGTTACACAGGCTGCACGGAAATGCTCATGCAACCTATGTGTTCGCCTGGGCACGAAGCACGGACCGAAGTATCAGTGTTCAACGGTTTTTACCGCTAGGCCACTGGTAGACCTGACTATCCCCTTCATAATTCATTTAATGCATTAGTTAAATGAGTTTCAATTCATGAAAAGGTGCACCCCTCGCTGTAGTAGTAGTAGTTATTAGCTGAAAAGTTCAGGATTAAATCCTGGAAGAGAACTGAACCCAAAATGACAAAGTTGACACAAAGAAATTAAGTTTAATCTTTTGCATGAGAAAATTTAAATTTAAAATTTTCAAAATAACCGTAGCGATCTTTTCCTTTCATTCTTTTTGTAATTAATGAGAGAAGATATTTTAAATTTATTTTGCTTTCAACATATTCCATCTAACATATCAATGTGAAACGAAATTTCTTTGTTAAATAAAAGTATGTTCGCCCGGTAGAGAACATTTCGATCATTCATTCGCTTAGAGACTACGTATACAGTGATTACGTTTCATGAATTTAGCTAGATTTTTATTTTATGTGCCTCATCATATATAATCATTGAATATTTGCAAATTTAATGTTCTGTTTTTGACATATGGATTCTTAAAATTGATATTTCTCATGCAGGACTTTTTAATTTCAGATACCTGCGAACCATATCGACACAGTACTGAGCCCGAATTCGATATATATGTGGATAAGGAGAAATGTTCAGCGCTTTGTAAAGATGCTTGTTTGTAAGTTGCATGCGAATTTATGTCAAAAAAGATAATAATGCAAATATCATAGTTTTGTATATGATAGAACTGAAAGAAATGTTTTACAATATTATTTGAGTACATTTCGATAACAAAACTGCAAATATACTTACATTTAAAACTAAACATATTACACAATGAAATAATATTCTTGTTTCTTTATAGAAAATACAGTTTTTTCTATTCAGTGGATAAAGTTCTCGAAGTAAGTATCAGATTTTTTTTAATATACAAAAAATAATATATATGTACCGAAAACAAAATCAGTTGTGGGAACTATTTTATCTTCTCTGTGTTTGCGTCATGTTTAAATGTTGTTTGGTAAATGTAAATTGTTGCAGATTTAAATAAGAAACCTATATTGTACGTACTTTATTTATATTACTATTCTGCTTATACTTTATTTTCACGCTTGCTGTTCAAAATTAATAACGTCCAATCATTTGCAATGAGAATTTTAACTTTTTTTACTCTTCTTTTGCATACCGACCTAAATTATGAGGCAGGGTCCAAATGAAAGTTGTACTGTGATAAATTTCTGAAATACCCTATTAGTTTGAATACATGCAAACTGAAATGTGGTACGTAGGGGATATTATACTTGCGTACACATACTTATCTTTTCAGTTGAACAAATGTACAAGCATGCACAACATGAATGTACCTGTAAAAACAGATCATCCTGTCCATAAATTTGCAAAACGTTATCTACTATCTATATGAGTCGTTACTGGTTGGAAGAAGTGTCCCATAGATAGACGTAATGATGAATACTGTTATGGAAGAAGGTCTTTAATTACATGAGCAACCATTCTCAGACTTCATCATCAACTGTGAATCGGATTTCTTCAATGTTTTTCGGTTAAACAAATAAACAAGCCTGCACAAGATGAGTATATCTATAAGAATGTAACTCATCCTGTCCATAGATTTGAAAAACGTTATCCACTATTTACGTTCAATATAGTTATCGTTTGAAACAAGTGTCCCGTAGATGCAGGTGATGACGACTGTGGTTAGATGAGTAGACACTCTCGTTCTTAATCATCAATTGTGAATTTGATTCCTTCAATGTTTTTCGGTTAAATAAATACACAAGCGTACACAAGATGAATGTACTTTTAAGAAATGATCATTCTTTTCATAGATTTGGGAAATGTTATCCATTATCTATGCGTAATATCGTTATCGGTTGAGACAAGCTGATGCTCGTAAGGATGAATACTATCATCGAAGAAACTCTTTAGCTGCATGAGCAGCCATTCTCAGACTTTATCATCAACTGTGAATTGGATTCCGTCCATGCTTTTTATTAGGCGAATATGTGGGAATCACAGAGCGACTTGTCGAGGATTTAGGGGAAGTGGTAAACAATGATCGCTTGCAAACTATTTCCATGTAAGTAACGGGTTTGTTCAGCAGCAGAATAACAGCTTTTGACAGTATGATACATCCACGATTCTTGATGGTTGTTTTCACTTTGGCATTATGTGTTTGCATTGATTGTATCTCCCTTTTTCCAACCAGTCCAAGAGTAAAGAACCATTCTCGCCCCTTCCTAAAAGGTGAGTGTGAATGTTTTCAGTTAAAATTGAAGAGTTTTTCTTTCATTAAAGAGAAACAGTATATTCCATACTCATTTGCATCGTTGTCCTATGAGAACTCGTATCAAGTTTGTTTCATCGCAAGCCACAGTACACTGGTTTGAAAAAATTAAGGACCAGCAGATTTTTTCAATATAACTTTGTACAAAAGCTTTCCAAATCAACACATTTAATACCGTAAGATCCCATCCCCCAATACGTAAGGACATGAATAATGTAAGCAACACTTACTAAAAATGAAATCAGAGGGATAAAAAGAAACTTTATTGAAAAAGTAGCATGGAGCGCAATGCGACTGAAGGCCGAAACATCCCTGTGATGGGTGTCCAGCAAGAAACATCCTGTCTTTAATAGGGGATATGATCTCCCCTGACTGCTAGGCAGGTTTCACAGTGTCTGCCCATGCTGAGAATGAGGGTGCCAATGAGTTGTTGAGGCATTGCTGCCCATTCGTCTTGCAGGGCCAATTGAGGCTCCGGAATCGTTACTGGTGGTAAGGTACGAGCTGCCAAGCGTCTGCCTAGAAAATCCCATACATGCTCGATGGGATTGAGATCGTGCCGGCCAATCCATACGTTCAATATCCTCACTCTCTAAAAGCTGTTCGGCAGCTACTGTGCGATGACATGGTGCATTGTCGTCCATGAAAAGGAACTGCGGACCCATAGCGCCTCTAAAAAGACGCACATATGGAAGAAGAATCTCGTTACAATGACGGGTCCCGTTGACTGAACCTGCGTCTAAGATATGAAGGTCTGTACGACTACCAAGCATGATGCCTCCCCAAACGAGAACACCGCCACCTCCATACCTGTCCCTTTCAATGATGTTCGAGGGATGATTGCGGCTGCCCCGCTCTCTCCAGATGAGTATGCGATGAGAATCGCTACTCAGACTGAATCTGCTCTCATCTGTAAAGAGTACTCGTCCCCATTCATTGTCTCTCCAATTCAGGTGTTCCGGCACCACAGAGAACGCCTTCTCCGATGGGCAGGCGTTAGAGGTACACACCGTACAGGGCGTCGTGCAAACAGACCACCACCGTGCAGTCTTCTGGCCACGGTAAAACGCGATATCGGTCGTCCAGTCGCCTGCGTCGTGTGTCTAGCGATTTCTCCCGCTGTCTGCCGCCTGTTTCCTCTGGCCTGTAAGGCAATATACCGGTCATCTGCGGGTGTGGTTCCTCGTAGACGACCACTACTAAACCCCCGGATAGCTGTTCCTGTAGTTTGAAATTGTCTCCAAAGTCGTGAAACGATGCTGTGAGCAATTCCGAACTCTGCAGCCACACTTGTCACACTGCGGCCTTCCTCCAACTTCCCAATGATTCGACCTCGGGTAAAAGCATTCAGATGTCGTCTAACAGATTGATTATTCGCTATTTCTCGCTGAGGCAGCAACTCGGTGTGATTTTAACTGCTATACGGCGTGCAATCTCTTTGCCAGAAATACTGATCTTACAGCGACAATATGCTTTATACTACTCAGACACTCTCCCATTACGTCTACCTGCATATCTGCGCATCACCTTACTTAACCTCCTGATTGGTCTTTCTGTCCGCTCTGCCTCTTCGTTCAGCTGATATGCTAATTTTTCGACTTCGTCCTTAATTTTTGCACACCAGGTGTATGATGAAGTAATTTTCTTCCCTTTTTATGATGACGAAGCAGATGCTGGAAGGAAGCAAACGCACATTTGCAAAGATTTCTAGGCCTCACTGAGATCTTTAGAGCCCCATTTCACATTAATCTTGTTAATTTTAAATTTATATCAAATATTCATTTCTATTGTTAATTTGGGTGGTTATTTTACTAAACTTCTTTGCAATGGAATTAAGTAAAGCAAATTATTCTGCAGAGATTATTAAGTATATTTAGCCTTCTCGAAGCATGCTGCAGGTACTCGAACGCCCATCATTAAATTCACAATCCCATTTTAAAACTGCGCTGCCTGACATACGCGCAGTCGCATACACATTCTCTTTACTTTTGTAAATGTCGGTTCCACATTCAAGCGATAAGAATTGGACTGCTATGCGCTGAGCCTGTTTAGAGGAACCAGTGACATGATGTTACTTGTTCTGTAATATGGCGTGTTAGGTGAGTGTATGTGGCTTCTGTTTCAGCCACTGACATGCCACCGCGAATTGTTTTCATGTAGATTTCTTTTGACAAGCACAATCATCTAACTGGAGAAATGGGAAAGTTCTGCCATATGGAATATCGCACTAGAATTCCAGTCCTACATTTATTTGGGAGCCTTTATGTGATAGTTAGTTAAAATGAGAAGTAAAACTGAAGAATTTAAAATCTAGTACTTAAAGCCTAATATGTATAAGGGAAAATCGTCAGGATATTTTAAGTTCGAGGAACATTTGGGTCAGGCATCACTTATTTTAAGGGCTCCTTCGAATGCTGCAGCCCAAGTGGAGCTTTAGCGTGTATTTTAAGGTATTTCTCCCGCCTTCCTAGCATGCTTTCGTGGTGTGGTGGTCTGCACACTGGGCGCGTATTCCAGAGGTCTGTGATTCGATTTACGGCGAAAGCGTTACTAATTTTTCATCTTGCCTGCTTCAAAAAAAATTTAATATCTGTAAATTGGCGCCCGAACTAAAAGGGTGTGTGATGATGATTCTCCACACACAGGATTTGGCGATTGTGTCCCATAAAAACCCCAGTCTTCCTTTAAAAGGGGAAGTATATAAGGTATTTCTCCCGCCTTCTTGGCATGCCTTCGTGAGGTGGGGATCTGCACGCTGGGCACGTATTCTAGAGATCCGCGGTTCGATTTCCAGCGAAGGCTTTGTTCATTCTTCATCTTTCCTGCTTCCAAAAAAATACCTTATGTCTCTGCAGTATTAGTAGTCAGTAGGACTTTTATAATGGATAACACCATTTCATCGATGTAAAGTAGGTTTAAAGGGCATAAAGACATATGACTTCTCAATCCCAAAAACTTTTCGAAGCCATCATCTCCAAACTCTTTGACTATTTATCAATATTATTAGGGCATTATGCAGGTGTAATAATTGATAATATTAAGGATAAATATCAGAACCTAGTAATTAAATGAGAAATACTAAAAAAAATTAAATTAAAAATCAATATTTTGAATCTGATAGAGAATGCTCTATCTATTAATGAACATTCATCCAAAGCTATATGCAATTTTTGCGTCTTGTCTGTATATAAATTATTCTTGAAATATAATTTATATAGTAGTGCGTACGCCAATGTCTTTTTTTTTTTTTTTTTTTTTTTTTTTTTTTTTTTTCTTCTAACCTTGTACTCTCCCTATTTATAACGTAAGCTGAATGCGAAAGAGCTTTTGAAAAATTAAAAGTTGTAAAATGTAGATTAAGAGGTACTACGAAGCAACCTAATTTGGAGTCACTGCTGTTGATGAACATAGAGAAGGATTTTTTGGCTAAAGCAAAAATTGAAGACATAATGGAGACAATATTTACCCATGCAACCTGGAATTAAAAAATATTTAAATGGGTAATTATGAATTAACCGTTGCTTTGCGTACATAATGATTTAGTCGCTGTTTATATATATGAAATAAAGTGTTACTTTTCTGCAAAGGTATATTTTTATTTTATAAAATAATTTTTTATGATGATGATGATGATGATGATGATGACTATGATATCTTATATGTATTATGACATTTCATATGGGCCTTAGAGCCGACTTTTTTTTTCCTGACAGAGCCGATTTCTTTGGCCAATCTGCCACTGGTTACGAATGATTAATTTTAGAAGCATTAAAAACAGTGTTTACCTTTTTCGGGTATTCATTTGCAGCCTTCTTTTCAGGTAGAAGTAATGACTGACAGTTTCTTCTTTCTCGATTAAAAACGTTGCTTATTTTGTCCTTAGAAATTTTAATACTATGCAATTTGCAACATTTTTTAATAACGGAATAGGAATATTTCTCTTCGAAAAGCACGAAAACATGTCCTTTAATCCACAGCTTGTTTATATGCGACATTTTGAAAGAAGAATAAATTTAAAACCAGCAGGCGATAATTCCCATTTCAAATTATAAGCTGTCGCCAGAAATTATTATTCGAAAACATTTTCTTGTTTAATTCTTTATCTTAGTCATTCTAAAAATGTGTAAACACCCTCTTTAGTTTTCCGTAATGTTTATCACCGTATAAATTTAATAAGAGTGATTGTGACTCTTTGATTTGTAGTAATTTTTCTTCATGATATTATAGTTCTCTGATGTTAATTTTATATCCATAATCTTTCATTCATGGGGCTCTTTTTTCAGTTTCTGTCAGTGTGTTTTCGCGAAAAAAATTAGAGAAAGATAATAAAGCGAAAGTTCACATTCTGAGATATATTCTTCACTTTTTCTTCAATCGGTTGCGTTTAAACTGATGTTGCTGTTCATACTGATTTCTTTAATTCACATCGTTGTCTCTCTCAAAGTTATGAATTTTCTGAAAGATAAAAAAAACATTTACTTACTATCGTATCAGCATTAAGTAAGCATAAGTATTGGTAAGGAAGTATTATAATAGTGAAAAATTTTGGTATAATGTTTCAACGAAAGTATGCGTTTTGACCTCTGCCGAATGCTTTTGAACGATGTTTTTGCGTGACATCTGAACGTTCAGGCAGAAGAGAACGCTTTTTCCCAAAACAAGTTGTAAAATGGATTCAGAAGAAATCTGAACTGAACTTTCTTTGCATTGACGAAACTTTCGTTGCGTAATGTTTATATATTTATATAGAGAGAGAGACAGAAGATCCACTGTGTTATCTGGCTCAGTGAGCTCAACTTTTTTTGTTATTAAAATATGTTGGTAAATTGTGCGTTTTTTGCTTTAAAAGTGATTGAATTATGTTATTCTTATGTTCCGTTTAAGAGTTTTATGCTTTTAGCTAGTCTGCATGCAATAATTGTAAAATTATCAACAATTCAAAAGTTTTTAAGTGGTACTAAGTCTCATGAAGCCGCCATTTGTTTACATTTGAAACTCCTAGCAGAACAGTAAATTAAGTCTCTTTTTGCCAAGTGGGACCAAAAGTTAACGTTCAGTTTTATGCATTGAAATCTCTGTCTTCCTGCAAGCCGGCCGAATTGCGTGCTTTAAAGTATAAACCCTAATTTTAATTGTAAAAATTGTTTTTTAACTGTTTTCACTTGTATTGGGTATATATGTTTTCTGTATTACAGTTTTTAATGAAAATGTTTTGAGGTATTATGTATTTTTGCCTTGCCACAAAAAGAGAACTGAATTGATCGAATGAGAAATATACCTCTAATGAAATTTGAGATAATAAGTTTAAATGAAGTGCAACAAAAAATGTGTATAATTTAATAGGCCGTACAAGAAGTCATGTGATTTCACATCAGATTTTATTCTTCTAATAGTGTCGCTACGAAAATAAATCTTATGTAATTTCAAGGGAGCAGTTTGGAGTAAAAAAACCTTTTTGTGCTCTGGGCAACACGAGGTCTTTCATTTTACTTTGTTATCGTAAAATAAAAATCAATTTGTTATTTGAATTACAGTAATCAGCTTCAATTTTTTTAAACTTGTACCTGAGCCTGTACATCAGCATCAGTGCTGTCAGTAAAAACCATAATCTTTGATAAAACACACGGTTGGTCCAAAATCTGAATACGTAGTTCACTGCAGGAAAATGTTTATAATAATCCCTGGAAATCCCATGTGAGAGTAGGGTAAGGAATTAAAAACATTCCTCCTGTACTTCCTTGCGCTGCCATTGCTGGCAGAGATGGATCTGAAAATTTGGAAACTGCTGAGTTTGAAGCATAGACATGCTTATTTTTAAAGAATTTCGTCACCTAAGCACTTTTGTTCTCAATAGTTACACGACTTATAAGAAGAGAAAATAGAGCCGGAGTCTTAAATTATGTTCTAATACAGATCTTGCTCATGAAAATTTTAATATGTCCTACTGAAGAATACCTCTCGAAGCATCCGCATTTTCAGCTTAGATCGAAAAATAATTATTTGAGCACGAGATGATTAGCATTTCTACTGAGACATCGATAGCTAGGATTAACTGATCACAACACTGTGGCGAGAATGTATCTTTAGTAGGCTTAAGAAAGACTACTCGACATGAGAAATCACATATTATCCTTCATATACAAATAACGTGAGCACAAATATATTGAAGCACATGGCGGTGATAAAAAGTCCAACTACATTAAGCACTTAACCTTAAAAGTAAAGCACTACTGGAACTTTGAACAACCAGTTGTTGTGTATTGTTGGCGTATTGAAAAACTGTCATTGAGATACTCCTAGGCATCCATAAATCCCGGACACGATTAACTAACAACACAATGGATGTACTGCATGTTCAGTATTATTACCGTATGAAAGGCATGGGGTCTGTGCTCTCACGTCAGTGCATATTTATGCTACTATCCTTGTTATTTTAAAAGGGTTTGATAAGTAAGTGTACTACGACACAAATATCTATAGGACATTAGTACCATAATATTGGGTTGTCCAGAAATTTCGCGCCGATTTTAGGTGGTTGGAGTACAATTTTTATCAGTTTTATACGCCTTTGAATATGGAAGAAACCGCAGTGCATTTTAGGCATTTATGCTTTCCTTTTACCGTAAAAGCAAAAATGCCACACAAACAGCAAATAAGATGTACGCTGTTTATGGCGAAGGTGCTGTAGCTGAAAGAACTGTGTGGAAGTGACTTGCTAGTTTTAAAGCTGGTAATTTTAACTTTAAAAAACAAGAACGCTCGGGTAAGCCAACCACCACAGATGAAAATCAGATTAAAATACTAATCGAGAATAACCTATGCTACACATTACCTAAATTAGAGGAAATGTGAAATATGCCGAAATCCATCATCCACGAGTATTTTGTGACGCTTGACTGCATAAACGATTTTGATATATGGATTTCCCATGATTTAACGGAGAAAATCATAATAGATCGTATTTCCATTTACTAGTCGCTCTTATAACCGCAAAGAGGAGACACCGTTTTTGAAGCAAGTTGTGCCGAAACACTTCAGCAATTGATGATCTTTAGCCACCCCAAAAAACGTACTTCATCCAAAGAAGGTCTTTCTCCGTATCTGGTAGGACTGAAAGGATTCCTTTATTATGGACTCTTACAAAAAGTGAGCGAATAAAATCATAGAAGTATTGATGAATCAACAATTGAATAAAAACGACCAGACATAGCGTTGTGTTTCATTAGGGCAATGCACAGCCTCATGTGTCTTTGATAACTCGACAGAAGTTGATAGAGCAGATCCATCCACCATATTCACCAGACCTCACGGCTTTTGATTTTAACCCATTGCAGTTATTACAAAATTCCCTTTATGAAGTAAACTTCAACTCCTTGGTTGAGATAAAAAATCCCGCAGAAAAGTTTTCGCTGAAAAATCTGACAGATTCTGGAAAGAGGAAATTTTCAAGTTGCCTGAAAGATGGAGAAAAGTTGTAGAACAGAAGGGCACCTATATAATTTAATTAATTTGTTCTGCAAATATCCTGCTTTCCATTTTCCCTTCAAGATCGGCCCCGAACTTTCCGGATAACTAATAACAAAAGAATATTGGTAGACTAGAATTATATTGAAGATGTGATACAGTCTTCGTGTATTCTTTGGGAGCATACGATCTTAAACCCTATATCGAAGACTAAGTAGTGAATTCTCGCTATGTCTTTAAGATTAAATGCTGCAGACGAAAGGTTTAAATAACCTTTTTCTTTAAATCTTAAATTAAAACAGATGCATGCACTTTGTGCTCAAAAAGATACCCCACTTGTGGGGTCCCTAACAGAAAATAAGAATGTAACAATTCAATAGTAAATTAAGATAACCCAATGACTGTTTCCTTAGCTTAACTAACGCTAAATCGACTGCACACAGCAAAGCCGAGCTGAGTAATATCAATATAAATTGAACGGTGTCGAGCACCGAACTAGAGAGCTAATTTTAAACTCGCAGCATAAACATCGGAACGAACTCCGCTACTACTCCTTTGAAATGCAGCTTAAATACTTCTGAAACACGTTTAAAATTTACATCTACGTCGTACAAAATTTACATTCCGGCAGGAAACTGAAATCAGGAGAAACATAAAAGTCAAACTAAAAATAACCGGTTAGAATAAAGTAAAACCTTACAACGTGTAGACTATTGTTTCTTATATAGATGTTCTGCTCTCATCTTTTGCACGTAGAATACAGTAGTACATGATACTGCAACAAAGTTCTTATTATTTTTAAAATTTAAATATTTTATATCTTGTAAGTGTTTTAACATTGTAATATAAGTTATCACTTAAATAAATATTGATATCTCTTATCCATCTTATGTTGCAGTTTTAAAGGTCAGTAGTATAACATAGTGTGCATAAAATTTTCACACTTAAAATATTTATCTCTGAAAATGCTATATAAGATTTCTCTTGATTTTGTCATTACAATTATTTTCAAACTTCTTGTTATAATTTCATCTTTTATAATTTTTTAAATTGTATTTTATGCTTATAAAATTGTGAATATATATATATATTTTTTTTCATATTCTCTTCAAAGTCTGCCTGGCCTGATTCGTAAGTAAACTTAATGTTAAACAGTTATGTGATAGTGGAAGTGTTTGTTGTTTTTGTACCACTGAATTATCGGATATACTTAATTTAAAAAGGGAAAAGACAAATATTTCGGTTTGCAGTATATCAGGTATTTCAACTACAATTAAAAGAAAAGCAGTTGTCCTTATCTGTAATCAGGAACAAACGTATAAAAGGAAACTAGAGATTTTGGTAATTCCAAAAATAGCAGGTTTAACTCCCGCAAAGTTTATCGATGTTAGTAACCTTGTGATTTCTGAGAAAGTGAATTTAGCGGATCCGGAATTTTATATACCAGAGAAAGTAAACCTGTTGCTCGGCGTGGAAGTATTTTATGACATTGTTACGTTATTTTCTTCCTTCACGTTCGTACGGGGCTCGTAGATTTGGAGTGAATAACGACGACACTTAATTAAGTATCGAAACACACTTTATTTAGCCATTATTAATCAGGACAGCTCCAATAACACTTACTTTTTACAGTCGTCGAAAATCTACTATAAACACGCTGACACGTTCAGCGACACAGCCTTCACACTGTCAAGCAATAACGGTGGAGACAGCTTCACTGCAAAGCACTCGAGTACAGCTCCCAACTGTGCTTATTTGTTCTCGGAACTCCACGTACTCTCGAGACTCTCCACGCGATGCATTCGGCGATACACAAGAGTATAGCTCTCGACTCAGCACAGTCTAAGACAAAACTCGACGATGCACTAAAAGACTCTCTCAATGCACTCGACGACCAACTCGGCGCTAGACTTCGAGACACTCGCTCAATGACTGACTATCAGCTCGCTAGACGAAGCACACACGTACTGACTGCGGACCAGCAGAGTTTATATAGCTTTTGGCTGGTGTTCTGGGCTAAACCGGTAAGAATTCGTTCCAGAAGGTTCTCCATCCGTCCATGGTATATCGCCAATTTTGTCGCTAAGTGGGCTATTTCTTGTCAAATGTGGCAACCCTAAAACTGCTTTACGGGGAATCTATCTCACCGCTCCTGTACATTTTGTAACAATATATTATTCCCCTTAAATTCACATTTTACTGATTTTTTCGCCCTCGCGATAATGTTTTGAGTTACACAAACTTACCAATCATTTTCAGAGGCAATGTCACGTATTATATAACCATTATAAGATATTTATTAGAGTAAAAATTATTTTACTAAGTAGGACTTTGTAGAAGATCTGCGCGAAAACCCATTATTTACAAACTACAAATTCTGCCACTTAACTTATCAGGTTCTCTGTTCCTCCTTACTTGCTTTGGGAACATTAAATGTCCTGACTCGGAACAGGGAGCTTACTAAAGCTATGTTCAATAAATTTGGGAAGTAGACAATACACACAGGAAAGGTATACGAAACCCTTTATTTTTCTCTCTTTACAATGATTTCCAGACTTCGGAATACAGAGACCAACCACTTGTGGTCTGAACGTAAGAATATAAAAATATTAACTAAATTCTAACTAAACTAACTGTGGATTAATCAAAACTTCAAGATTGGCCGTTATATTAACAAAAAGCCGTATGTAGTACAGAGAACTGTAACACTACGATACGTTTAAAAATTATCAAGAGGATTAAACCTCTGGACTTGGAAGGCAACCAGCAACCGAGTAAAACTACTATGGCAAGCGGCCTGCTTCGAATCACTCCTTCCTCTCTCTCGCTTGGCAAAAAGCCACAACTTAAGTACTTGGCGTTCGCCAGACAAATTTGCATAAATAAGTTAAAGCTTTTAATTCTGGCCGGAAGTAGAAAATAAGAAGTGATAGTAAAGATTTAAAATAAAATAAACGTTAGTAAAACTTAAGATCCTTACATACTTCCCGCCAGAGTTAATTAGTTTGAAACTGAGGTCTAAAACGACCTTGTTGAAAACTTTTAGCTCTAGAATCTAACGCGAGGCCAATCTTTTACAAACATTTCTCACTAGAAACTAGAAATTTAAAAAAAGAAATCGTTTTTACATTATCAACTTCATGGACAATTACTTTTCATCTGTACTGCATCTAAACAGGAGTTCTTAGTTGAAATCTGGTTCCTTCCAGAGATCTGGAAGGAAAACTAGTTTAATGAAATGTTACACAATTAAATGGCAAGTAACATGAATACTTATATTTCTCTTTTAACATTCTTATTTCATTCATGACGTTATTTAATTATCTCCCCGTGCTCTCTGACATGTGTTGTAAAGGAAAACACCAAACACGAACGTGTTTATGTACAAGTGTTCAACACTACCGCCTACAATCAAAACACTAACGTGTTAAAATTCAACATAACAAGACCTCAGAACACACCTTATATTCATCTCTAAACCCTGAGGTACTATTCTGAAAAGTGGCTAACTCTGAAGTGTAGCGTCAGAGAGCCTAACTACATTCATTCAACCTTTAACACATATTCACAATAATTTGCTCTTTTTACAGTCACACGAATAAGTTAAAATTTTTTGGCATTACTTTCACTTTTAACCATATCACAGTATTTCTAACTTTTAAAATAACAGTTCACATTGTATATAAGGACATATTAACATGCCGTTAATTTTACGCATTTTAAAACATACATTAGTAGTACATTGTTAACTTCTATTCTTTTCCAAAGAAAGTGCCAATTCTTCTACATTGAAATACTACATTTCAAAAGTCTTTCAGACTAAAACTTCTTTCTTGCCAGAATCTTTTAAATAAAATTTATACAATAACTTTTTACAATTTCTTAAGGTACCTTTCTCAAAGATTATCAATGCTTTTACAATATTCAAGTATTTACACATTCCTATTATACATTAATTTAGTTTTACTCGCGAGTAATTGAAAAACATAATACCAAAATAGGTAACAACTCATTTCTCGCCTTTTTGACGATAAAGGTAGACTTCACATGAGGTAAAACTTCTTGAATTCTGCCACTTGCAGTAAGAATGAAAGATTAACTTAAGGTTTCAAAGTAACATAAAGTTTTACTTATTTTTGTGGTATTCCGACATCCTTTTTTCTGCCCAGTCCTAGAAGGTAGCGAAGACTACGGTTTGGTTTATCTTCCTACTTGTGCGGGTTCGCCCTTCAGTTCCTTCCTCCATGAGCTTTCTTTTCCTTCCAGTACGGTCACCCTTGAAGACCTTCTTTTAGCCTCTGCCTGTGGTCTCGGCCGTTTGATGGCAGCTGGGCTTGGCGGAAACCGGGACAACTCTCTCTCGTTCCTGCTTGGATCTCGTTGCTGGCTGTTCAAATTTTCCTTGCTTCTTTGCCTCCACAGCTGGGGTTCCATCATCAATTCGTCGACATTTGCTGCGTAGACTCCTGTCCGATGGGTAGATCTTCCGTTTTGGAGCCGTGTTATAGTTGCCGTCATTTCTCCTGGCTCTCTTTGCATTCGTCGTACTTCTCCCTTCTTCATTCTGGGGGTGGTCGTGCTCTCTCTTTTCTGGTCGGTGGAACGGCTTCTTTTTCTTGTTACCTTCAATTTTCCAAGGGGGAAACTTTCTTTTCAATTGCACCTGCCTCCTAATGGCTTGCCTTTGTGATTGTCGTTGTTCCACCTCTGGAGCTTGTGCCTGCCGTGCCGGATCCTGCAAAAGATCTTTAAATATTTGCATTTTATTACGATCATAGAATGGTTTTATCTTGGTCAATGTTTGCGGAGCATGGTTTCACCATTCCTGGCTTTTAACACCCCTACAGCCTGAGTTATTTTTTGACATATGGTCCTTCAAATCGTGGAAAAAATTTGGCAGTTTTATCTTCTGGTGCTGAAGAAAGTGAATGCTTAATTTTTAACACTTCATCTCCTACATTTATAAGTTACTCCCCGTCGTTTCAATCATAATAAAGTTTCTGTTTTCTCTGTGCTACTTCAGTGTTCTTTTTTGCATCTTTATTAATTTTTCTATATCGCCCATTTTAAATTCTGGGGCTCTTTGTTGAACATAAAATAATTTATCTAACGGCGTTATAATCTTTCTGCTTAAAATAACTCAGCAGAGTTTTGCCCGTTGTATCATGTTTTGCGGTCCTAAGGGCGAAAGCTAATTCATTGACATAGTTATCCCAGCTTTTATGAAAATTTTTAAAACATAACTACGGATAATTTTCACTATATTTCTATTGACCCGTTCCGCTATATTTGATTGCGGCCGATACGGGACCATTTTAAATGACGTATGCCCAGTTTTTGGCACATGTCTTCAAATATATTACTTACAAATTGAGGACCATTATCCGATATAACTTTTAGGGGCGCCCCGTATTTTAAAATATATTTATTTAAAATAGAATCAGTAACTAATTTCGCGGAGGCTCGTTTTAAGGGAACAAATTACTAAAATGATCAACCATAACAAGGAGATAGCGACTTTTGTTTAACTGACTTTTTGGGAAAGGGCCCAATAAATCGATGCCGATTATTTCATTTGGAAATTCGGATTTAATACTATTTAGAAACCCGGCCGGGCGGAAATTAATATAATTAACGGCTTGACATGTTGGGCAGGACTGGACATACGCCCTTGTTAACTTTTGCAGTTCAGGAAAGTAGACTGCCTCGCGTACGCGTTGGATAGTTTTTCGAATACCAGCATGAGAAGCTAAAGGGCTGTCATGGAGCTCTTGCAGGATATTTAATCTAAGACTAGCTGGGATAACAGGTCGAAATTCGTTGTTGGAATTCGTAGTTTTTGTGTAGAATAATAGACCATCTATTAGTTCGTAATGGGCCGCCCTATTTCTTATCGCCACAATATCTTGGTGGCTAAAATTTTCAGGATCCTTTAAATACTCATAAATGTTTTTAAACTCAGGATCCTTACCCAGTTCGGTTATTACAGTTTCTCGGGAATTTATTGTACATGCTGTGAGCATTGCCACCTTTACAGTATTACCTTCTTCATCTATTTTATTCTGGATAGGGCATCTGCTACGATATTTTCCTTTCCGGGGGTGTGCTTGATTACCAGATTATACTCTTGTAACTTGAGTGCCCATCTTATTAACCTTGGGGATAAGTTTTTCCCTGAGTACAATCTAGTTACCGCCGCATGATCAGAATACACTGTTATTGGCGCCCTTCCAAAACAGACTCGGAACTTTTGCACTGCTAACAGAACTGCAAGTGCCTCTCTCTCCGTCGCGGAATAATTTCTTTGTGTTTGATTTAAAGTTCGACTAAAAAATGCCACGGGCTGCTGATTTTGCGAAAGTACCGCTCCTACCGCATAATCCGAAGCATCCGCTGAATTTTCTAAATTCTCATCATTTTCAGGAAATTTCAAAACAGGCGTTTGCGTTAATGCTTGCTTTAAATTTTCGAAAGCACTATTGGCTTCGGCCGTCCACGAGAATCTTGCCTTTTTCCTTTTTAATTTTAACAATGGTTCAGCAATAGCTCCAAAATCTTTTATAAAAGACCTATAATATGAACAAAGTCCTAGAAAAGAAGAGAGCTTCTTCGCCGTATTTGGCGGCGGATACTTTTGCACAGCGATTATTTTTGATTCGTCTGTCTCGATTCCTTTCTGAGATATTTTGTAACCTAAGTATTTTAATTCAGGGGCTGCAAATTTGCACTTTTCGACATTAAATTTTAGACCGGCCTCATTTAATAATGAAAACACCTGTCTTAAATCCTGTACACTAGGATGTTGGTCCAGATTATCACTAGTAATAATGATATCGTCTAAATAGATAAATGTGGACTTTCCAAGAACAGGCCTTAGCACAATGTCCATACATCGCTGAAATGTTGCCGGTGCCCCTGAAGCCCCTGAAAGGCCAAACGGCATACGCAGGAATGCATAAGTGCCAGACTTGGTTATAAAAGCAGTCTTAGGCACATCTTCCGGTCTAACCCCTATTTGAAAGTAACCAGTCGTTAAGTCTAAAGTAGTCATGTATTTGGTAGAAGTTATGTTTCTTAGAATTTCTTCGATAATAGGTAACGGATATACCGGATATTTAGTCATGAAGTTTAATTTACGATAGTCAATTGCAAAACGCCACCTTTTTGTATGTGTTACCGGATAGTCATTATTTTTCTTACATAACACAACCGGGCTAGCATACTACTTGAGATGGGCGTTATAATCTTTTTAGGTAACATATCTCGAATGTGCCACTCTATAATTTTTTCTTTATTCTTATCATATCGGTATGGTTTGTGGCGAACTGGCAGTGAATCTCCGGTGTCGATACTATGGTTAGTAACTTGAGTAAATCCGGGAATATCACTAAATAACGAAGTAAATTCACTTACCACTTGTCGAATTTTTTTGTTGCTCTTATTTAGGCAGGTGGTCGAGGTTTAACGTTGGTGGTTCTGTTTTTTCTTCTCGAACTGGTTTCATCGTCAGCTTAAGGGACGCTTCGTTAAAATCCAGCGTTGCTTCTGCCTCTGAAAGAAAATCTATCCCTAAGATGACATGTGCTTGCAAATTCTTTACGATAAAAAACATAATCTTTACTTGCTCGTCCTTGATACGAATGTATAACGGTAATTTACCTATGCACTTGCATCTTTCTCCCTGCGCAGCTAACACTGTCGTATTATCCGAATTATATATGCGGTATTTACGGAAAATACTTCCTAAAAAACTTCTGCCACACAGGAACACTGCGCGCCTGTATCCAGGAGTGCGGTGGCTGGGATGTTATTCACCAACACTTCAATCTTTGGAAGAGTCAAATTTTTCACCATCACTGTATTTAACTTGAAGGAAGATGGGTTTTCTTCGTCTTCGGATTTCCGCACCCTCCCGTCAGCAGAAATCCGTTTTAGTTTAAATCTTGTTTCTTCCTTTCCATGCTTTCCTTCTTTTTCCGCTGGCCTTCAGACTTTTTTTCTGGCTTACTATTGAACTGTCGACGTTCGCCGGTTGTTTTTGGATACTCGGGTTTCCTTGCCCACTGATTCGCTTTGCTTCCGTAGCCGTGTTCTTGACTTTGCTGTGGTCTTGGCGCACTAAATTGGCTTCGTTGCTCATACTGGCGTCTTCTTTCAATGTCCGCCTTTCTTCTACTTTCAAACTGGATTGCTAGCTCAAATAACTTTTCCAATGTAGTCGGATTCCTTAATTCAATAAAGTCTTGTACCTGGGAAAGTAACCTTGGCAAAATCACTTGAATTATCTCAGGATCCGGACGGTTTCCATACAAGAGTTTAAAGACGTGAATTTTTCTTAAAATAAAGGTGGAAAGATTTTCGATTCGTTGCAGATATATGCTGAAGAGTTCCGTTTCTAATCATGCACGATCTCTTACGACAGGGAAGGCTTTTACTAAGGCAGTCTTAAAATTTTCGTAAGTATAGGTGGGACTTCCCGCTTGACCCAAGAGGCTTCTGCCTATACATTTGAACCAATTAAGCGCTTGGCCCCTCAAAGCGCTGGTAACTAAGGTGACTTTCTGGAACTCATGCACTGGATACAGCATGAAGTGGTCATACAATTTTTCCAAAAAACTGGTTACCGGTGAGTTTCCATTAAATGTTGCTTCTGGTTTCATCGATGCGCGCATGGTCTGGACGATGTAACCAAATCCTTCCAGGGCGGCAGCTGGCATTTCTGGATTCTGAGAGCTTCTGCATGCAGCACAGGTTCTTCTTGAAACTCGGCCATGGTTATTCTTCTTCGTCGGGCGCCACTATCAGGTTCTGTGTTCCTCCTTACTTGCTTTGGGAACATTAAATGTCCTGACTCGGAACAGGGAGCTTACTAAAGCTATGTTCAATAAATTTGGGAAGTAGACAATACACACAGGAAGGGTATACGAAACCCTTTATTTTTCTCTCTTTACAATGATTTCCGGACTTCGGAATACAGAGACCAACCACTTGTGGTCTGAACGTAAGAATATAAAAATATTAACTAAATTCTAACTAAACTAACTGTGGATTAATCAAACTCCAAGATTGGCCGTATGTAGTACAGAGAACTGCTAACACTACGATACGTTTAAAATTATCAAGAGGATTAAACCTCTGGCCTTGAAGGCAACCAGCAACCGAGTAAAACTACTATGGCAAGCGGCCTGCTTCTAATAGCTCCTTCCTCTCTCCTGCTTGGCAAAAAGCTACAACTTAAGTACTTGGCGTTCGCAAGACAAATTTGCATAAATTAAGTTAAAGCTTTTAATTCTGGCCGGAAGTAGAAAATAAGAAGTGATAGTAAAGATTTAAAATAAAATAAACGTTAGTAAAACTTAGGATCCTTACAAAGTCATCAACTTACATGAAAGTCTTAATATTAATATTAATTTATTAATTAAAAAGCCTTTTTAAATCATCTTTCCTATCTTCATCACTTAGCTTTTCATGCATTGAGATAAAACTGCAGGATCCTCCAGTCAAAATTGTCTCTCTCAAACCAAGATATAAGGTAATTGTACATTATTATTTATTTTTTACATCTATTTTTGCGTGTTATATTTTCTGGTTTTACTTGTACTTTACTTTCTGTAAGATCTAGGATGAGGGTCATCAATTAAAGCTTTCACTTTTCCTTCTTGTATGAAAAGCGATTTTAATTTCTAATGTTCGAATTATGAACGCTTGAAAAATTAAGGTATTCTACAATATAGCTGTGTTGTGTTGTGATAAATATATCGAGCACGCAGGTCTAAGATACATGGCTCGTTTCCCTAAAACACCGCAGCTCGCTTTACACATTTCTCGGTAGGTAGAGCCTAATCGTTTGTATAGTGGCGTTCGAATTAAAATGTGCTTGACGGTAAAGCATTTACCTACTGGAATTAGTCGACTATGTCTCATCCTTGTGCCCATTTCGCTCATACAAGAAATTTAGATATCGGAACATGATAACAGCAATGTGTTCAAGAAGTATAATATACAAACATTTTAATTCCATTTTTGGCATTAGTTTTTATAAAGATAAGTAATTAGTATTTGAAATGAATCGTTATACACTAGGCTACTCATGATTGCGGGATGTACCGGAGATTATACTCATGTTTAACTCAATGTCCTAGTTCGGCCCACCAGCGGCCGAGCGGTAAAGACGCTGAACACTGGTATTCGGTCTGAAAATCGAATCCCGCGAACTGGCTGGCTGCATGGGCGTTTTCGTGGTTTTCCCCATGTGTAACGTGTATACGAGCCAGTTTCCCTTAGAAAGTCCTCCACGAAGGCATCCCTCCCTTTAGGCAGATAGCCCTGGTGTGCTTTACCACAATTAAATAATCCAATCCAATGTCCTAGTTAATGCGAAAGGAGTTAAAAAACTAAGCAGAGAGTTAATGAAACATTTAGGAATTTTAAAGAAGAAAAATCCAATAAGCATAAGGATAGATTGTAAGACATTAGCTACCGAATTATATTTTTCCAAGCCTGTAGACAAGTTTAGAAGCAATAGGTGTTCAAAAGGAAATGTTTAATGTTTGTAGCTATGCATCTACCAAAATATTAAAAGCTTTACTAGCAACTGATGCACGTAGATTTTAAAGTACCTATATAAGCTGGAAGCTTACTATTTAAAATTTCGGATCAAGTCTATATTACCAGGTTTCAATTCATTTTAAACAATATTTTTATTATTTTTTACGATATCTATTTATATAATTTTTTTCTTTATACCATGAAAACTAGCAATTTTTATGTTTTCGTAATTGGACATTTAACACGTATTTTAGCATGCAATGAATTAAGATCTACTTATTCTGAAAATATTTTACTACACGATGCCAATTTTTTCAAGTCATCCAATATATTTTCAAGTTTTTGTCTGACTGAGTTTCCAAAATTGTATCAGATCTTCTAGAAACACCTTCTCAGATCTTGATTTCCAAACATTTAATCGTTCACAGAATGATTGTTATTCAAAAGGAGAAGTCGGCAAAAGGCAAAGAGTTTATTAATTTCATTTTTGATTGGCATCATATACAGTTCGAAGCATTTGTATACATGTTTTAGAAAATTTGAAATGTAGTAATTATCAAGTAGTGCCACATTTTGTATCAGGAAAAAATAAATATTTCGAGTTCGCAAACCTATTCAAGACAGGTTGTTCATATTTTAACATAGTGGTTGATAAATTTATATTTAACAAATGTAATATTTTTGAGAGAAACGATTACATTTGAAAATGTGCTGTATTAGATGAAAAAAATATAATTTTATGTTTATTATATTCTAATCTCATGCAGACAGTGAACAGTTCTTGGAGTTATTCACATATCAGTCTTACTCCAGGAAGTAGAGCTAACAACAGAATCGTATTTGTTGTACATAATAATAGTATAATGGCAGGACGACATGGTTAAATTTGTAGCTGGTTTGGAGAACACAGCATGCAGAATTTAGTACACAGAGCTGCCAGTTCTGATAGCAACAACGACTGCAATCCTGGAGGGCATATTATTCATCAACAACGCTGTAATCCTGGAGGGCATATTATTCATCAACAACGGCTGTAATCCTGGAGGACATATTATTCATCAACAACGACTGTAATCCTGGAGGGCATATTATTCATCAACAACGGCTGTACTCCGAGTCGAATAGAGTTTGGTTGACAGAGAAGAGTACTTCATTCCATACAGCTTCAACTATTTGCCAGAGTTCATTAGTCGCGGTTGTTGGCGAGTTATAGCATTCCAATCTTTTAGCAGCCCATGACCAGATATTCTCAGTAAGTGAAAGATCTGAAGAACGGGCTGGCAAAGGTAAGAGTCGAACACTCCCTGTATCGAGGAAAGTCAGGACAGCATCATCCAATCATTTGTGCGTTACCTTGTTGAAAGTTAAGTTTGAAATGTTTGTGCGTTATCTTGTTCAAATTATTCCTATTGAAAGTTCCACAACAAACAATGCTATCCATAATTCCCGGTTCAAGTGTAACCGTCTCCTGAACCCACTCACAAGATTATAATCGGCCGTCTGGGTCGTCATCACTTAGCTGTTACACCAGTCTTGGAATGTACCCACGCAACTTGCATTCTCCAGAACGTGTAGCACACTTCTAGTACTAACACCTTTCTCACGTGATTTTTGCCTTGAAGACTTCCCCCTGAACGCTGAAACGTTCTAGCATAGCAAATGAGGATTCATCACTCGTAGGCGTCCGAAGTCGCCCTGATCTGCTTTTATGCACATCACACAGTGTCTGATGAACCTCAAAGCCTTTTCGTAGATGTTTAATTCATAAACCTGAAGGTGGATCATTCCGATACTCATATCGCCACTATCTCTGAACCGTAACAACATTCTCAAACTTCCAGTACCACTTAAAAACCTACTTCCGCTCATTGAAAGCTCAAACGTACGTCCGCCATGTCGATTTTACTTACTTGACACTAACTAGATTGCGCAGCCAAATCGACGACTCTGCTACTACCTGTTTAAGGAATCATATAATAACATTTTCTTAGAAATTTAACCTTGTAAGCAGGAAAATAAATTTTCTATATCAGTTTAAACCGTATATGCATTTTTCTGGTGCACCCTGTATACTTTTACTTTTTTGTTATATGTCTTCTGTATATACTTTAAAAAATATAAAAATGTGAAATATGTAATAAATTTTATAAAAATATCTAATGTTTTATTAAATATACGATGAATTAAATGCTTTATTTAAATCAATCAGATTAAAAAGTAAAAAATAATATACTTAAAACCTGCATATATTACTTTTAAATAGTTTGGTTTGTTGATTAATGACAGACAGATTAAATATGAAAGAATAGTATCTTACTTTTTCCGAATTTTAACAGATTCGAATGAAAAATGAAACATTGCAAAGTCGCGTTTTGAGACTAATAGCCCTAATAATTTTTACGGACTAAAAAACATTAGCACATTATTATAATTATTTTCATGTTATTTCTTTGCGGATCTGCAACGATGGTTAGTATTAAACCAAAGAAATGCTAAATTCTGGAACATATTGACGAAAAGATATGGCAAACTTTATCATTTATTCTTCTCGGTATTGCTGAAATCTGGAAAGATCACCAATCTCGTCTATCGATTAAATTTCCGAAGTTCTGTAAAGAATTGTAATTTGAAGGCATTTCTAAATAAATATTGCATCAACCTATGTCGTCATAATTCCTTCTTTTACAAAAGTGACTCTTTGAAGCAAGAGGTGGCTAACGCTCACCTACAATGTGCTAGCGACAAGTTTCCGTTTTCCCTCCTTTCAATAACAGTTATTTTTGTGAGCAATTGTGTGTCTTTATTTTTCACTGTGCCCTAGATTTCAGAAAGATTGTTCCTCTCTACTTTAAGGCTTACGTTTTATTGCGAGTGTTTCACGGAAAAAAAAAAAAGGTCAGATTGAGAACCAAGGCACTAGAAAACAAGTTACGGTATTTAGTACTTTGCATTTCCAAGCATTTAAAAGGCGATAATCCGTCATGAACTCTGAAGTGCACATTTCCTTTTGAAGCATTTAAATATGTAAATTTTTGTGGCCATAAAGGTGCAGAACTCTGCTGGTGAAAATTTCACATGAAATATGTCTCGTGTTAGTCTTTTTATGTGATGGACCTTTAAGTTCAACCACCGTGTTTTGGTAGCCAATTTCCTAATTATATATGATTTCTTAAAAAAATGTCCAAATTTACAAAACAGTTTTCTCAGGCAAATCATTTGTCACAATATTTTGCAACTTTTACGACAGTGGTGCTAATGCAAAAATACCGTTTTATCTGATTACATTTTAAAGACTTAATTTATTTCAAGAGGTGATCGTATTTTCTTACAAAAGCAAAGTTAAAATCTTTCAAAAATTAATAAAGCCCCATTTAAAGTTTTCAAACATGAACTTTTGGAGTTCTTATTCTCAGATGCATTGAAAATTAACTAAGCATATCAGCATTCCTTCCTGAACTTTCTTAGTACTTCTGGACATCAGAAACGTCTTTGGCAGAAACTTTTCCCTTTTGTTGTTGCTTTTGTGACTAACCTCGGTTTTCTGATATCAGACAAAACCGACGAAATTCATCGTGGCAAGGAGGCGATATGGCACTTTTTGTTGGCAAGCGCCTATGGCACCATATAGGAGAGAAGACGAATTTGCTCTGTTCCGCTCCCTATTATCCCCGTTACGCTGCAGAAGTGGACTGCTGACCCTCAAGCTATTTTATTTAACAGCCTCCCAGCACAATGTTTTCTCCGCAGAAGCTATCTACTGTCCCCTAACCTCTCGAGATGACTTTCGTCTCCCCGCATATTTTGAGACCCCCATGCCCCACAGACATTATACATTGAAAACCATCTATGCCATCTCTGGGATTTTATTCCGGGCTTTTCGGTACGGCAGTCCGAGTCACTAACTACTATCCCTGCTGGGCGGCTTTCTAATTTTTGTGGCCGTTATGTGACACCACGTTACTTTAAGTTATCAGCCTGTTTACC